TAAAAAAAAAAAAAAAAAAAAACTGTACGTTCTTAACAGACGTGACTTTTTCACACTTCGCGATGTTCATCTTATTATCGTTAGGAACCATTGCGGTTTTTTCCCCTATTTCTTCATCGGTCCGATTGATTGTACGATCTATCGGTTACACGCAAACCGCTTAACGTTTTTACACGAGTCTCGGTATAAGTACACTTTTCAATTTAGCGCGGTAAGTAGTGGATCACCCTTGTCTAACAACTCGGGGGAGTGTTAGCCGTGCTAAGAAATGCACAAACTTCCAGGTCATTAACGACAGTTTTGAAGTATTACGAACAAGGTACAGAGCATCTGGAAGTTCTTGCAAAGTATTAAATAGTATGATTCGGTATAATTTTCCCATCTCCTGCAGTGTCATGAATTGAAAAATTCAGACGGACAGCTGCTATAGTTATCCAAGAAATAATAATACCTCACATTGATTCGGCAAACATCTTATGCTGTGATTCCCCGCAATAATATTTCTTCGCGCTCTTAATCTCTGAAGTTATTTCCCTCCGGTAACGAGCGTCAACGAGTAGTTTAAACGCGCTTGACGCGCTCCATTTTCTCGTGTTGACGAGAGTCTGCACATGCTAGAGTTTTAATTTTGTTCATTAAACTACTTGTTATGTGTGCTCTCGCTAACGTTCACGTAATAACGTGCCTGAGATATTCCCTGACGGTACGCTGTGCACAGGAATGAAGCATGATGAACTTGGAAGAGACTGGGTTGACCGGTATGCATTCGAAAATAGACAAGCGTACCTCCGCATTCTACACAAGAGCGCAGTTAACCGAACGATATAAGAAATTCCAGGCTCGGAGTTTAAGGCAAACACTGGGTAAATTTAAAGCTGATGTGAATCGATGTATAGATGATCGATGACGAGAAAGTTTTTAAACGTTTTACTGTACAACTAATTTTGTCTATCAAGAAATTATATTCGTATTAATTAATTATTATTATATTTTCGTCACATTTCTTATTCTAGCAGTGAAACCGTAAATCTGTCAAACTATGTATAATTTTAATAAATTTACGATTTTTTAATATATGTTTAAAAACATTAAAGTTGTCGCGGAAAATATTATGCTTCTTATTTGTGTAAGCGTAAAAAACATATGTGCAAACTTGATATAATTAGAAAATAAAATATATATAAATAAAAGTTTAATATTTGCGCATCAAAGAAGTAACGACTCAACTGGTAGGAAAATATTATAGCAATGACGATGAGTGAATGAAAATGCCATACGAACGCGACAAGTTTCTCAAGTGTGGTGTAAGTAATATTATTTGCTGGAAATAAATTTTCAATGGTTACTTAGAAATATGAACGGAAGATTTTATGGCGAGCATCAACGATGCGAATCCATCGCGAAGTATCAAAGTATTTCCGGTGTTCTTATTTTACGATATATAAGGTATCTGTACGACGGGATCAGCTCGCAGGTTCGAAGTTTCTCAATTGCGCGCAGATATCGGAATCTTGTGTTTTACTGCCGGTCATGAACGGAGCTAAGTTTAGCGATTCGAGCACCGCATCAAAGCTTTCGAAACGACTTGATTTTCGATAACAGAGGTGACGTCATTTGCTCGCAGGCCTCAGCGGGATAGGATGCACTTTACTACGTTCTTCAGAATCTTAGCTCGCCCTGTCTTTTCGACGATATTGTCACATCAATGTTGATATTTCGCGACAGTTGAAATAGCTCTACGTCTACATCTAACAGTGAGTTGCGATGCTTTTGAAGAGTATCGTGTGGAATGCATAATATAGTTTGAGTATTGTTTCTTAGAAGTCATGTGAATACTTCATATTACGTTATTTATATGCTAATATAAATCCTGTATGTGATGTTCCTATACACATGAATCGCTACACATTCTTGACGTTGATTTATGCGGTTTCGTTGATTGTTGCAGAGAGAAATCAATTCGTTTAATAGCATTAATGACAGAGTTATCGTGTATGGCAAAATGTTATTGTTTTCTAAATGATCTCTTTCTCTCGCTAACTGATCTTACACGAAGTATTCGTTTTATCACGAGTCCTTTTGGTATTATCTTGATCCATTATAAGCGGATCATGTTGGAAGCTTGGACTAAAACCGTACTAAAGCCCTCTCAGTAATATGTCATCAAATAAAAGGTATATGCTACATAAAGAAAATTGATTGATAATTTTATTTTTGATAAGTTTAAGCCTCTTCAAAGACTATAAGCTCGAAAATTGGCAATGATGATTATAACTGTCATACAAATCTATTATCGTGTTATATAAATCATCCTTTCTAAATCCTTTTAAATTTAATTCTCTCCCTCTCTCGTCGGGTCATTGAAGCCGCAAAAAATCAACGTCACGCAAAACATGCAAATTCCTGTTGGAAGTTATGGCCGTTATCTACATTCGTTCATCGTTCCAATTATGAACTAAATCTCGGCGATTTTAGCTCTTTCGATGCAATTGTATAATTATTTATCTTCTTTCAGCTTTATAATAAATAAATATATCATCTTTATAATAAAGGAGGTAATAAAAAAGGAAAAAGTATTTGAAAAATTTTTAACAAATGATATTTGAAGTTAAAAATCATGTTGATCGACAAACATAGTAAAACTAAACAAAATGCGATGTTCTCTATTAAAAGAAAGTAAAGTTCGAACAAAATTTTAAGAAGATAGAAAGGATGAAGGAAGAGAGGAGAAAGAGGACACACTTAAGAAATAATAGTGAGAAAGAATTTATCTGAAATTTAACGGACATCAGAGTATACAAAGATTAAAAGCTGCAACAGAAGTAAGGATGTTTTAAGAAAATATTTAGATAGAGGAATAAAACAATGTACTAACAAATACAATAAATAACATAGTTAAAAAAAGTAGTATATAAGAAAATATTCTGATTATTGCTTATATTGCATCTTATGGAAGATATTTTTTAATAATTTTTAATTGTTATATACTTATTAAATTTTTCTAATACTTCAGTACACAGATATCTGTTTATATAAAAAAAAAGTTTCAAAAATTTAAAACAAACTTTTTATCTAATACTATATCATATAGTATACTTCCTATACAATATGTATAATGTAATATTACTGGAATCGCGTGAATGTCATTCACACCGAAAGAATTAATGTCACCGCTTGCTGAATACCAACTACTACCAATCTCGCCCACTCTCCTCAACCCAATGACGGATGGTGTAAAATGTGTTTGTCACGCAGCAGATGAGTAAGTTGGTAGATAATATAGAAACGGCCAGCGATAACCCGGGAGAAAGGAGAGACGTCCCCCCCCCCCCCCAGGTCCCTCTCGCTTCATAACGATAAATGTTTGGATCATAACTTACGGATGAGAGACGCGCCGGTGCAGACTCCTCATGGACATGGCTCTGTTTTTGCTGCGACTGGTGATAGTGGTGGTGGTGGTGGTCGCGGTGCTGATGGTGGTGGCGGTCGTGGTGGTCGTGGTGACCGTCGTCGTCGTCGTCGTCGTCGTTGTTGTCGTCGTCGTCGTCGGCGTCGCGATCGTGGTGCTGCCCGTGATCATCGTGGCCAAGCCCGGGAACGGGCTGGCACTTCCGTTCGGCGTGGCGCGGCGTGGCGCAGCTGCCGGGGGAGCGTGGGGCTCCCCCTGGGCCGCCACGGCCACCGCCGCCGACGTGAGGCCCGCCGAGGTCGCCAGGCCGGTACGCCGGAAGGGGCCCGAGGTAGCCGCTAATCGGCGTGCTAATCTGCGGGCGAGCCGACGGGCCAGGCGCGCCCCTGCGGCACCGGCACCCACGCTGACGGCGTTTCTGTGCCACCCCCCGTGTCCAGGGGATGGTACACACACTGGGCTCGGTTACCGCACCTGACCACTACCGTTCCTCTCGCACTTCCTCGCACGTGGCTTCGTCTCCTCGGCGTTTTCGTTTGTATCTTTTTTTTTTGTTTCGTTAATGATCGTTATTCACCGGCCACCCCCGAGCCTGTACGTCTCGGTTACGATTTCATCAATGTTCGCTCTCGATCGCTCGGGATTGTCAGATGAATTCTTCTTCCTTTAACGTTGAATCGTGCGTGCGTACGTGCGTGCCGCTGAAACATTTCGAATGGAAAAGGTGTATAATAATAGACAGCGTGAAAATGAGGGATGAAAAGGAAGCACGTGATTAATCATACCGCGAGCGAATTAGACAGGGTAGTACGAATAATTAAAAACTGCATAGTTCTAACCTGTTTTATCTTAAATAGAGTAACGATCATTAAAATGACAAAATATATGTAGACATAATACATTCGATATTAAGATACAAAAATTTCACTATCTTTTTACCTGAATCTACATTTTTTTGTGAATTTTTGGTCACTATTAACGTTATAATGTCAAAATCCATTTTATTTGCATTTGAAAAGCAATATTGCACGTTATCTACTTTTAATATCTCTAGTATGAAATTTAGAGTAGTGATTATGCAAATTTAAGAATCATCGATACCAGAGTATGTTGCATGTTACGGAACAATATCAAAGATGAATGCAGCAATAAAATAGCCGCGAATTGGAAAGATATTAGAGCCCGTACATATAGCGTCGAATAATGTTACAAAATTCACTGAGTTAACAAATGTTTACGATACTTTGTCGATTTAACGTGACACCGTGTTTGAAAACCGATCGAGCCGTAGAGTCGACCGAAGCCACTTTGCGAAATAAGCAATAAATATGTGCGCGTTGAATTTTAATGCGCTACAAACTTGACAAAGGAGTTTGTCGAGGGGTACGTCGCCTGTTTACTCCTATATCGATACGAAAATCGTTATCGGATCGGTTCATATGGAAATGTTGCGACATTCATCGCCTGACGTGGTAATCAAAACGAGTGCATCGGAAGGCGAAGGAAGAATATCATCTCGGCCGTGTGTTTTGTGTATAGATTTCACTATCGGACTACTTCCTTGATTAATGCGGCAAGTAAAATCGAGGGATCGCGGGGGTATCGTTATCCCTCTGGCTGGCACGGACGGAAAGGAGTACCGGAAACGATGGTGCCCTCTTTATCGTTCCCGATAAAGAAATTTCACTGTTCGTATTAAAGATGGTGGGCTGTGTGGCCCTCGTTAAACTTTAAATTGAAAAATACCGTCGGGTATATCGCGTTATTGGAAAATTCTCTCCGCGCGCGTGTGTTCGTCCCCCCCCCCCTCCCCCCCGCGATGTGTTTTACGTCGCGAGACAAAAATCAGATTTGCGAATATTCCGCACCCGGACTGCGGCCCACGTGTATTGGATTTCACCCATTGAATATCTGATCGGCTATAATAATCACGCGTGAGGTATTAAGCTATCGTGAAATGCGGTTGAGACCACATTACTGCAACTGCAGCTCTTAAGTAACAATCGTACTGCATCACAAAAGCGAGATTTTAACGAAGTCGAGGCTTTGAAGCAAAAATGTCCTCAATCTTTTGTATGAGTTTGCATAACTTAAATTTTTCTTTAATCATTATAAAATGTACGATATTTTATTTATTTTTTAATATAAATAATGTAATTTATTTTTTCTTTGGTGTCTTTATATATTGTAAAAATTAATTATATTATGAAGTCTTATCTCTCTCTTCCAAGAAAAATATTATATATAAAACATTATTATTAGCTATTTAAAATTTAAAAAAAAAAATTTAATAAAATTGTTAATTTTATTTATTAAGGAATACGACAGATATAAACAATTATGACAATAATTCGTATGCCTAGCTAATTATGTTGTAAGAAAGCAGAAATAAATTTTTGTTTGCAATAAAATGAATCCTTCGTATATAGAATATTAGAATTCTGCTGATACCATTCAAAGTGGATGAAAATTCTGTTGAAAATTATTATAGCTGATGTTATGCAACGCTATTTTTTAATTAAAACTTTTTCCTCGTTTTCGAAAATTTGGAATGATACAACAAATACCTCTATGTTATGTACTTGAGAAGAGCTCGAAAATTCCGTCCAGTTTAAGTATTACATAATCTGGTAGTGGCAAGCCGCCCTATTTTCGTCACGTTGCTTTTATGTAATATTCATTTAATGCTTGGAGTCGAGTATTCAGTGTCAGTAGTCACGGTAGAAGTACCTACGAAATATTTGCGATTCCAATGTCGGGTATTCTCGTGCATGTTTAAATAAATATTTCGACTAAAACCGATGTTGAACTGGTCGAGATGTTATTTGGTTTAATTGATATCGAATGAAAAAAAGCAAATTAAAATATAATTATTTAACAACAACAAAAATAAAATTATCTTTAGAAATTTATCGAAATTAATTACTAGCAATTACGATAAGTACGATATTGCGTTTAAATCATTGAATAATTTCGTCTTATAATGTTAAAAAAAAAAACAAAAAAAAACGATATTCTCTAATAAATTCAGATAAAATAACATACGATTTTTATATGATAATTATTAAAGTAAAAAATAGCTAAATGTGTGGCTATCTATTTGCAGGTTTAAATTGGTACAAGCATAAATTTGACACACACACACAACGATGTGCAATATGTTTATAATATATAGATTCTCTCAATTAAAAGTCGATATATAATTTTCAGTTAGTAAACAAAATATTTTTATGTATATAAAATATAACATAACGCTGTTATAAAAATTAATTTATTTCTCTTTTAAAATAAATGTAAAACAATAAACCAATTGATGCTAAATTTTCATGTAGATAAAATTAATATAGTACTTCTGAAATGTCAGCACATATAAATCATACCTATAGTCCAATTTAATAAATGTAGGATAGTAGTGAGCAATGCAATATATTTTAATTTTTTTCATGTGTAGACACCTTGTGTAAGAAATGCAATTTTTGATCAAATTTTAGTATTGAAATGTCAACTCGCGAAAATAATATTTATTTAAAGTTTGATAGAAAAAATAAATTATATTTTTGTTATGTAATTTGTGATATATATAATTAACATTAATTTATTTAAATATTATTATTTAATCTAACTTCTGTATTTTTGCTAATTATCTTTAACGTTTGTTTCTCTTAGCTGTCTCATTTTCAAATAAGCTTTCTACAGCATCTTCGAATCTATTGTACTATTCGATATCAATTAGTGAGCACTTGATACTTTCTTTTGTATAAATACGCACCTGGCGATTTATCAGGATACAGTGGCGAATGAGATCCCGCATCGGCGGTGATTCGTCATCCCGTCCCGATCTCCCTCGTTCCTGCGCACCCCTGTGCAGGCGCAATTATAAGCCGGCGCCCTCTCGGCGTTGTCGACGGTGAAGATCGGATAACGGGGTCTCAGATTATATCAGTATATCACAGTCCGCGGATCCGACGTGCGAGCACCGCGATCAACCATTATTATCCCGATCGAACACACTCGCGTCGCGTGCCGCACTCCTCGCCATCGTGCCTCGCATCGCGGGCGTTCATTCATTCATGTTCGGCCCGTGACGGTGGTTCCCCGTGAGAGCGCACGTGGGTGCCTACCCACCCCTCCCGCGATCATCACTTCGTTATATAGCATAATATCACAATGGACGATTTTGTTTGTTAATTATCTCCTGGCGTTTACAATACGTGGTAATAGCCTTAAACTTAGAAATCACAGTCGCGAATTGATAATGGGTCCTCATGCGTGCCCCCTCGCGCGGTATACCTCGCGACGTCCTCGCCACGTCCACGTCGTTCACTGGGCATACTTCCGTCTTTTCGGCGGCGACGGCCTCGACCTCGAGGAAGAAAAAACCAGCCGCCCTCTCTTCTTCTATCCCCTTTCTCTCTGGACTGGGATTTCCGCGTCGACGACCGCGATGACGATGATGACACGCGGAGCTGGAGTATACGAGCTCACCCCGGTTGTTTATCCCTCTCCTGTATATTGTGGATCGCTGCGGACGGATTGCTACCGGATTGCTTCCTGTCCTCTAACGGACCCGATTGCCGATTCCGACCTTCCCCCCCCCCCCACCCTCTCCCTATGGGTATTTTCCTCGTCCGACACACACAGGGACTCTTCTCTCTACCCCAAGTAGTGCGATGCGCGCCGGGGATTCCTCTTACTCTCTCTCCACATACATACATACATACACGCACACGCACGCACGCACGCACACACGCACACACACACACACACACACATACACACACACACACACACTTTCCACTCTCGTCCTTGACTTGTCGCTCGAGGGATAAGGGAAAGGACTACCACTCGACGTCGTCCGGCCGTCGAACGATGCGACTGTCAAATCGTACGACGACAGCTACCGATCCCGTTGCTGCGTCGCCGGGGTTTGTCCGTTGTCGCAGCTCTCTGTTATATTTGATCGTTGCTGGTACTGCCGATGTTGACTCCGGTCGACGACGGCTCGTACTACTGTCCGCGTCGTG